CAACGAGAATTCGCTTGGTGTGTTTCCAGTGACGACCCTAAAGATTATCGTCCTTTTTTAAAAAATTTTACCCCCGTATTCCTTAGGAGTCTCTTTGTGTTCCGAAACCGAAGAATGTTGAAAGAAACTGCCAGGTGGGATCAAGACATATAATCAGGCCCTGTTTGAGATGGTGTTCCAAGATAACTATCCGTTGGGGAGGACAAACGGTACGTTCCGGAATCCCTATTCCTTGGCATGTCTAATGCCAGTATTGTAGTAACTCACACACAGCCAGTCACGCGAAGAAAGGAAGACTCGAAGCGAATCTCTTGTGGAAATCAGCGACAGTGCCAACCAAGCTAGTTTTCGAAGGGCAGTTTCGAGCATTCTGTCACTATTCCGGCTGGTCTCCTCTTCAACCCTTCACGAATACGACACAGTGAGGGTTTTGCACACGGTTTTGCCAGATAAAATGATACATCGACATTTGCCCCGAGGGTTTTCGAAAAAGCATTCGCCTAACAAGTGCAGCACCCGGAGATAATTGGAGTAGAGGCTAAAAAGCGGTCAAAATTCAGAGATAGACAAGAACTTCTATCTGTCGAGCAGCCTCTGAAAAGGATCGTCTTTATCTTAGCATTATCCCTAACCCTCCAGGTGGAAGGGCTCTGGCTGCACAGCCGAAAATGATACAAGATGCGTAAAAAAACAACCGTCAGTTTATCAAGGAAGGTGCATTCTCTTGTTTCCTTCTTGGATCGTCGTTAACGTGGTGATTTCTGTGTACTACCAGACTCATGCATGTGCCGGAGCTCCTCTCATCTATTTCTGTTTGATTTACCCATACCTTCCCAACGAAAGTTCCAACTTCTTCATCATCGCCGCTTCCGAAGCGACTAGCAGATGACAACACTCGTGAATGACAGGTACCTCACCAGGAATGTATTATCAGTAGTGTCCTCTTGTGACCTCCGACTTCTGTCCTCCAGCACTCTTCCTCGTCCTCATAGTACAGCCTACGGATAATAAGTCAAAGAAACTTGGTAAAATGAAGGACACTCACGACAGCGTTAATTCGCAGATCCCGGTCGTCTGCAACAGCGTCTACAACGGCTAGAAGCATGGATCTTGCCCAGTCTCGAAGTACCCGAGCAAGGGCCTCGCGAGACTACAACGCTCCCCTGATTTTCTTTGTTTAGGCCCTGCACCCCCTTCTACTGTCACACAGTTGACTCAGCGCAGAGGCTCTGTCAATCCCCGTCCCGCCGGTCGTTGATAAGTGGATGGCTCCAAAGTCAGGTTACACCGCGCTTGGGCTCCAGCACCGCAGCTTTTCTAGGATCTCCAGTAATGCACTACTTCGTTTCGGACTTTCTCAAGCACATAGATATCCCCACCATCACCGCGTGGAGCCCGACGGAATGTCTGAACTCAGAACTAACATTGTTTCATTGGTACAGAAGTTACCCAGTCTCTCGGGAGGATGGGAGCTCACATATGAAAATAGCGCCAGCTACGATACTAATGGCCAACGAAGAATACAAGTTTTAGGTGCCGTTTTCCGTTGTCAGGCTATTTGCTCCGTAACAGCCATCATTAACGTCCTTGTGCACCCTAGGACTCGGGACTAGCGGCATTGAGGCAGGAGCTTTAAATATACAAGGTTCATATACACTGGAATGACGTTCGGCTGTCCGATCCTTCTACCGTTTACGAACTCGTTATGTTTATCTCACTTCGGCGCCACGACTGACACCTGGCCCGTTATGGTGATGGCCATACCTTCCAGTTTGGCTGCCAAAGATCGCAGAAACCTCGCATCTTTAATGTTGGTAGAAGTATCGTTGATGGAAAGTGAGATGAGGGAAGATTCGATGATACGGCACTCTCGCAAGGTTTTGAAGCTTGCAACTTTCGATGTCGATGTCGATCGATCACTTCTCACAGGTTTCCATCCCTAGCTATGACCGGGCTCGTCTCCAACTAGAATCCTGTTTTCACTCTTTTGCCGCCTTTGTTGCCTCGGATTACAACATCCCTACCATATTCTCATCAGACGTAGGAATGACTGAGGGATGGAAAACATTAGGGGTACGGTTGCCTGGGAACCTACGCACCGAATTAGTACGGGCTTTTCCGAAGAGGCCATCAGAGAGTGAGTATCATGCATCCTTCAAAAAAGTTTTGTTACGTTGGCCTATTTATACGCGATCCTTGGATATCTTCCAGTGATTTTCTTACGTCGAACAGGCAGGTGGGAGCACCCTTGTATCATCCACTGTTACTCCGTAGGAAGGTAACGATATATTCTGGGAGTTTTCATATTCATCTTACCGAACTGGGACAGAATTACGCGTTTCGAGACAACGAGTTGAAGTCGAATTCCAGTCATATTCTCATTAAGCCCGGGAGGGAAGACTACTAGCACTATCGCCCGAGCTAGCATTGTACGCATGAATTTCACGCTCTCCCTGTATTGGAATTTTTCTCACACTGGACAGAAGCCCTCCGCCCATCTAAAACGTTGCACACCCGCCCACTGGAGGATTACGCGAGCAATATATTCCGAAACGTTCACACCAACTGATTCCGAAATTTCCGAAATTCTGGGTATCCTATTTATCAAACTCTAACTGCACCCGTGGTTTTATGAGATTGGCGCGTGGACACTACTACCCTGCAGCTGGCAAACTGACCGCATGACGAAAAAAACGCGCTCACTCCGGTTCCGGGGTACAGCAGTAGTACAACCTCTGTTTACGACCACCACCATCTACCTCAACGCGGACCTTGCTGAGCCTTGTGAATGTTTTGACAAGCTTCGAGGAAACTTTCCTTCATCTTTTTCTCTCGCCTTAAAAAGGTATTGCTTAGGTATCAGATGATTATCATTTCGAACGATGTGGTGATTGATACATAGTTCCGAGTTTACAGTACCCCAGGACCTACCAAGAATAACTCCAGGCAACAAGTCTAAAAACCCGGTCGACGCTCAGCCCCACCCTCCACTTCTCCCTCTGGCCCATGTCGACGCACGACGTAGGGGATAACCTACTCATCAAGACCGCTAGGATCGCCATCGAAGGCCCTTGTTATGGTACGAATTCTCCCATGCTTCGAAGCATTCCTCCGTTTGACAGAATGTGTCATGCTAATGCAAAAAATGATCATTTTATACAGGTGCCTACCTCATCCTCATGTATCTATTCTTCAAGATTTACAGGTTAGTTTCGGTACTCTTCTTCAAGAGTTCCAAAGGCTCTAATCGGCCGAACATATGAATTTACCCTTGTTGACTCTGTTTATCAGTCGCCGCCGCCTCCGATTGAAACGGTCCATTTTCCTCGCCTCCGTCACCATCCTCCTCTTCCTCTTCTCAACATGTTTCTTTGTCCTCGACATCGTGGACTTGATAATCCGAATACAAATCTTACTACTCGAAGATTTCGATCCTTCCTTTGAAAATCGGATGGCCAAAGCCGATGGAGTCACTGAACCATTGATGTGGACTGGAACAGTTATTTTTATTTTCGCTGTGAGGACTTCCAGTCAATTTTTTTTATCGACTGCTAATGGTATATTTCACCTCGGCAGCTGAGCATTGGAGACTCCGTTCTCGTATGGCGCACGTGGGCTTTGTACCAAGATCAACTTCTATACGTCGCATTGCCGGCCCTTACGCTCCTTGGTTCTTTTGGTGAGTCCTTTTTTGTCCCTCCCCGAAGCTTGTATGTCGAGCTGTTAGGGCTGACTCTCAATCGTGGTCTCTCCACTCCAGCTAGCGCCTTGTTCGAACTGGGGTGCCTCATCGAAACACACTTCTCCACGGACGTAGTGGCACCGAGCGCTTCTTCAGTCGGGGCAGCTGCATGTAAAAAGGCCGATAAAGCAAGTTATACGCTGTCCTTCGTCACCAATATCGTTTGTACGGGGTTGATTGTTTGGAAAGCTTGGTGAGCTTGAAGCGTACGAATGCCCGACATGAAGGTTGATGGCCTCGTCACTTTACTCTAGGTCCCACAGAGGATACATGAATAAAACTTTAGGACGACAGAGGAAACAAACGCAGGTGGACAGGGTTTTGTTGTTGTTCTGTGAGAGTGGTGCGATTTACTTGGTGCTTTATGTATGTCCCCCCCCTCCCGTCGATTTCTTGTTTTTGCTTCATTTGACGTCATTTTTCTCCCTCCCCGTCCTTCGCGCCCTCCAGATCCTCCAATCCATTCCAATCTACAACACCACCCTTTCTTCGGGAGCTCTGCTCGCTATGAACATCGTCAACGCCGTCATCCAACAAGCAATGGGAATGTATCCAACCGCCATCGTCGTCCTCTGTCAAATGCAGAAATCTCTTTGGGATACCTTCGAAGTACCCAGTTCGTCAGAGGCTACGAGCATCTTTAGTAATACCGTTACGACGACGTTCGTTCTGGATGACTGGCCTAGGTCAGGTGGAGGAAGAAGAAGGGCAAGGTTGGAGTTTGCACGGCCGCCAACGGACTCTCAGAGTTTGGGTGTGGTTAGTTTGAACCACAGTTCTTTGACGGGTACTGCTGCGGTCGTCGGCGGATGCGGGTGTAAATGTAGTGATTGTGGGTGTGTCAAGAGTGAAGGTCGGCAGCGGAGTCGTGATGACCATGGTGACTCGGGTGATAATGGCAGCCAAGAATGCGTCGAGGACGGAAAGATACATCTTCACATGAGAGAGAAGAAGATCGGGGAGGTAGGATATTTTGATGTAGTTTGAATGCTTTTTTTGGTCTGATTGGATGATCATTTTCTTGGATTTTGTATTCCCTATGCTTTCTATTTCTATGGCCTGTATACCTTGCCCAGTTTATACCAAACCACAAGTATACTAAATATTGTACACCGATTCCTACCCGTACTATCAAAAACGATCACACTTTTTAGTTACATGACCGAGGCGTTTTAAAGATGAATGAGTCTGAAACAACCCGATCTGAAGATCTGAAACTTGGTATTTAACAGAAAAAAAATACGACATATTCTGCTCAAGGTGCTACCAGGGTTCGAACCTGGGTTTCGGGAAGGCCAATCTAGATATCAAAATCCCGAGTGATAACCACTACACTATAGCACCATAATATCTGTACCAAAAATAAGCTATAACTGGCCAAACTGCACAAAACTTGATACCGGGTTTTTGAGCGCAAATGATATTAGTTGGTAAACTTTGAATTTGCGAATATGGGATTCTTTTGTACATATATCAGTGGATCGAGCTCGAAGAAGTAACCAACACATCAGAACGCGATAGAGACCACGCTCCTTTGGCCAGTCATTCGCCTCCATCAACCATACATTCGATATTTCAAGACCCTTGTCCAGCGTCCAGCAAGAACGAGCTTAACCATGGCAACGAGACATACGCCGAGGGCTTAAGAATGTTTGCAATGAGACGATGCAGCGTCGGTAAAGAGCGACATCTGAGCAAAGACAAATTCTTCCGGTTTTCGGCCAACCTGAAATGAGCAACACGCTAAAGAAAAACAAAAACAGAACCGTACCATCTATACCGAAACGTGTGCGAATCCGATTGACAATCTCCGTTTAGTTCCATAATCCAAGCGACTTCAACAAACTTGTTGTGGAGACGACGAAGACATCGAAGAACTGTGATACAAAAAGGCGTTAGAATCGTTTGTCCATGGTGAGGAAAACTCACCGTTCATCGAGCCCAAGCCTCTCCTTCTTGCCTCATACCCCAGGCCCCTCAACCTGACCCTCTCAGCAAGAATGCTCCTCTTCAAGCGACGTCATTGAACGGTAGGCTCATTGCAAGGTACTCTCCCTCTTGGCAAAGAGCGGCTGATGCACGACATCAGCAAAAGCTGCGCCCATTGCCCAATCGGTGTAAGAGGATAGTCACGGGAACTCGCACCGCGCAACCGACATTCTACTAAAGCGAGCGATCAATTCGCTATTAGTATGTAACATAGATAAGTACCATCAGACGAGCGAAAGTGATTAGGTAGTGAGGAAAGTCTTGGAGCTGACTCGGATTTGCCCGCTGGCCGTGCTTGATACATTGATGCTCCACAATTTGCTCTACACATCATTGAACCCTTGATATCTAGTGCCAAAAACGGGACACACATTCAGAAACCGATGGTAGGCGGTAGAGCTGAGTCAGGGAGGTCAGGGGTAGGGGACACAACCGTCGGGGTGGGCATTGTGGACGACTAGTTCGAATGCTCGAACGTGGAATCCCCGTAAAGTACCTGCGAACGACAGCCGGCTCTCTCCCGAATCATTGCGGGCTTTAGACCGCCCAACATCCACGTTCTATGATGAACGTAGTCCCAGAGGATGACATCCTCCCATCCTCTCGAGTATAGCTTCCCCTGTCTCTAAACCACCGTGATCCGTCTTACAGAACCCAAAAAGTCCTGAGGCTTAATCCCAATTGCGATCGAGTTCCAAGCGTGAAGTAACGGATGGTGGACTGGGTGGGGGCCGGGGTCGGTGACTTGATGCTAGCAGGGTACCTTCTCCACAGCATACCCATTCGCATGGTAACAGTCCTTGAAAGTATCCTCGCCTACTCCAACAGATCCCAACCATAACTACATCACCATCCATGAATCGTACTCCCATTCTTTCCAATAGTACTTTTACCACCGTAGCTTCTCTGTATACTGTTGCCTTCGCAATTGCATCGAGATCCTTGAGGCTGGACCCTTTGGGGGTTTCTGTCGAGGGCACGAATAGAGAGAAGACGGTGCTGACGAGGAGAACGAAAGAGTGCTGGAATTTATTGGGAGATTGAACAATAGTGGGAATCACGAGTGGCAGCGAACGGGAAAAGAGGGTTCTCGATGCATATACCCTATGAAATTGGATAGCCTCGCTTGAAAAATGGAAGTCGGCAGAGTGTCCAGGAGAGAGTAGGGTTGAAGAGTTTCCGGAGGTGAATAGCCTGTATCGTTAACGAGCCTCGAGGGTCGGTAATGACAGAGTCGGTGTTGAGAGATGTAGATGAGGGAGAAGACCGGGTGTCCAGTCGTCAGCCGCTAGCACCGCCTATAGATGGAAACAGAATAGTTCTCTGTCTCTGTCTCATTTCTGTCTATGATTTCGTTATTCACGACCTAGACGCGGTCCTCTCTTTCTTCCGTACACCCCTCCTTTGCCTTTGCCAGTACCGATATTATGGTTCTGAATGTCAGTCTCTCTCCTCTCTTCAGATCAAGCGGGTTGTACGCCGTGACTGAACCATGGCACAGGTGTTGCCATCTGCCAATTGAGCCGTCAGCGGTTCAAGGTAGGAGCGATGGTTTGGGAAAATGAGAAGCTTGGGTGCATTATTGGAAGATACGAAGATGAGAGTATTATTGGAAAAGATATGGGTAGATTGAGTAAAAATATCCATGAACAGGGAAGAACATCGGCCGGAGAATAAGTATCACGATTAGGAGATCCCTGAGTTACAAAGACCCCCTCGTGAACGGCGATCTCATAAAATAAATTTGATAGAAGCAGAACGTACCTCCATTTGATGGATGCCTTTTTATAGCTTCAAACTTCTCGTGCTACTCGCTTCTGGCGCGGCCCAAACGTCCCTACTTGGAGCAATTTTAACCTCCGGGTGAAGATACTTCGACCAAAATTAACCCCCCTAGATTACCCACTGCGGTGCGGGAGTTGGGCACAACAAAGAGTAAAAACAGCACGAGACGCAGCATTTGCCCCCAACGAGATTAATCGGGTTCCAAGCGATATCAGACATACATCCCTCTGGTGACCTCAATTCCAAAACCCAAAGACTGCCACGGAAGATGGTGATATGGAACGGGACGTTGCTGCACGATTGCTACCAAAAAAGTGTATCCGCTTCTATGAACTTCAAGGGAGTAGCAGCGTCATGTTTTGAGTGCAGAAAAGGCCGGAAAAATCCGCAGGGCTGCGGTCCATGATAATCGAACGGTCACCTTGATGGCACAGAACCAGTTGTAGGGATAATGCTGGAAAAGAGCCAGAAACATTGTCGACACTGAGGACTATGCATCAGATACTCACCGAGCCTCTGTCTGCTGCTAAAGCTGGGTTTTTCAAAACGGCTTCGTCCCTATAACTAAGATCTTCATCTTGTTCGATTCCCAGATCTCCGTGTTTTGTTATTTTGGTAAACCTGGGCCCAAGCCACCGAGATTCTGAGATTAATCCCAAATCCCGATCAAGCATGGTGAGAAGAGTTCGATAGGTGATTTTAGTCCAGACATGAGAGCTATGTTCTTGGAGTAGTTTTAAGACGAAAAAGTGGACATCGAGTGCTGCAGAGAGGTGACTACACGGCCAACCCTTTCAATGGTGTCCAACACCAACAACATGGCTGATTTCTGATACCAAATGAAAATTGCGGATAAACACCGATTTTTTGATGTTAGACACCAAATGGTCAATTGGTGTCAGATATCACTTTTCCCTTGGTAATTTCCCGGTATCTGGACGAAATTTGATCTTTTTTTGACGCATTTGGGCAAGTGGAAGTAATATTTGTAATAAATGCTTACTACATGATAATTACACTTTGCCCAAGAAAATATTCGCTAAGTTCGTTCCCGCAGCATCCAATGCCACCCTCATTAAGTCAGAAGCACCAGAATTCCGCGGCCGGTTTGGAAAGTGATTTGAAGAACATGAGAGCTTGAAGCGGCCTGCACCCACGATGAGGAGCTGTGCGTACAGTGCTGCCATTGGCACAGTGTGAAGTCTGCCGAGTAGCTAAAATGGCCAGGTGGTGCCGGTGGTGTCTTGACGCGAAACGCGTCTGGCCACGTGCCGGATCACGAGGATAGCATTAAGTAAGCATGTTGAACGAACAGTGAACGGTTGACTGAATCATCTTTGCTCGCTGCGCTGGCTTCACAAGACCTCAATTCATCAGCAAAGGGCATGCAAGACAGAGCAAGAGCTCCTCTGGCCTTGGACAGTGTTTTAGCTTTGGAAGATCCCCGGTATGGTTTCCTCTCGTTTCGTTTTCCCCCCTCAAAGGCTACAAATTCCTTCTGCTTTTGCTGCGGACACTGGAATGAAATGCTGCATCTCGCAAAAGCTTCAAAACTCAAGACTAGATTGAACTGTCAATCTCGCGCTACAAGCGTTCAAACATGGTCAGTACCCTGGCTGTGGTAGGCTCACTTCAAGCGGTTCAAGTCACCTCACTGTCAAGAATACCCATCTCGATAATCTCATTCTCAAGCATGCCGTGGTTGCCATCTCGTCAAGTGGTCTGCTTTTTTCCTCAAGCATTTCAAGTCACCTACCGTCAAGTTCTCTGTTCTATTCCTCAAGCATTTCAAGCCTCCTCACCATCAAGTCCTCGGCTCTATTCCTCAGATGCACTGTGCCCGTGGTCCTGTCAAGTGCTCTGGATTTGGGCCCATTTCAAGCATTTCCTGCCACCTCGCCGTCAAGTTTACCGCTCTACTCCTCAAGCGTACCATGGTTACTGTCCAGTCGTTTAGTAGCTTTTACCTATATGTAGGTCTTCGCGGCCCATAGACATGATGTGACTGATTTATGCGCTCCCAGTACAGATCGCTCAAAGTGGTGAAGGTACGCTCTATACAACTCAAGTATTTCAGCCGATGTTCTTACCTATGCTTTCCGCTAGGCAGTTTTACAGCAACCACCTGTTACCGTTGACTTCTTTAAGATTTTCCGTGCGTTCCCTCACTCATCCGGTACGTCGTTGACTTAGCTGAGACTTCCTGCGAGTGTACCAGTTATCTGCTATGTATTTATTTGCTATGTACAAAATAAATTGATTTCTATTTATTATTTATCTATTATTTGGCATGACCCGGAAAGGAATATATGAGGGTGAAATAAGCGAGTATGCCGTCGTGCCGGGAGAGTCAAATGGTGTCAGATACCAAATGGTTTGGTGTTGAGGTGATATCTGGGTCGAATTTGTATTACTCCATTTTGTGTCTGACACCAAATTTTTTGTATCTGATATCAATTCGCAAATTTATCTGACATCAAGGATTGGGTTGGCTGTGTAGGACTCGACGCCGACGTCAATCTGACAGTCACGTGTGTACGATAACACTGTCAAACGTTCACGCGCACGGG